GGAGTATTGATGGGGTTTGTGGCAGCGATGAACCTCGTATCGCGTGCTCTGGCCCACCTCTATGTATATAGCGCGGGTTATAGGGGCCCACCAACCATAGTTTGGTTGGGCGCCCCCGATCAGGACGTGAGTCAGGGACCCGTTCGATCCGTTGGGTTCGAACGGGAGAGAGATCATCCTAACAAGTATTTCCTAGGCTATGTCTCCAGCCAAACTTTGACTGATAGCAGATCAATATTTACATAACCGTGATATTGGCTTAAACATAGAGTAATAGAAGGCCGTGCAGGGCAAACATTACTCGGCACTAGAATGACCTACTTTAGTTCAAATTTGGCAACATGAGATGAGTAAAAAAATACCGAAACGCTATTTGGCGAACGTCAAATATTGGGCACTCCCTAGCGTCCTGAATCACGGCACGAGGTTGATGCCACGTCAGGTCCCAGTTAGTTTCTGTTGTGACCAACTCCGCGGCGAACACCCCTATTTTTATTGTTCCCCACAAAACTTTATACCAGAGAGGCGCGGACGGGGACCTCATATTCCAGGACATACGTGGAGAATAGAGATGAAACACGTTGTCCTTCTTCCCCACGCTAGTTTTGAGCCGGCGCATATGCGCGGCGATGCTCCATTGTTTCTGTTTCTTTTTCTTTTTTAATTTTGTTTGTTTGTTTTTTTGCTTCTAAAATTGTTGGGGATTTCAGAAAAAGTTTTGAATTAAAAAAATGTTTCAAAGTTAATAAAACTTCACAAATATCAAAACATTCATGGATTTTTAAAATTTCATGAACTTCAAAAAAATTGTTCTGATGTTAAAAATAATTTCAAATTTGAAAATGCTACGAATTTTAAAAAATTTATCGCATTTTTAATTAGTAATGAATTTGACAAAAATGTGTCCTGATTTTAAAAAATTCATAAATCGAGAATTATTCCTGAATTAAAAAATGTTCATGGATTTCAGTAATTGTTCCCAAAATTTCAAAAGTATTCGGCAATCCAAAAAATTCATGAATTTCAAATTGCTTTCTTATTAAATAAAGGAACTTTTTACAAATAATCTTGATTTCCAAAAAGGTTCACAAATTTAAAATATTCTCGAAATTCAAAAATCCTTCTCCAATTTCAAAAATTGTTCCTGAACTTCAAAAAAGTTTCAGAATTTTCAAATAAAACAGGAAAATAAAAAGAATGAAAAGGAAAAAAGAGAAAAGGAAAAGGAAAAATAGAAGAAGAAAGAAAAAACCAATCCTAGGAAGGTTCTAGCCACAACTGGTGTGTAGGCAAAACCTGAATGTGCCGGCCCATATACCACAAGGGCGCTTGCATGTCGCCCACCAGGGGTGGATGTTTCATCTCTATCCCCCACTTTATGCTGGGAATAGGATCCGTCGCTCGGAGGGTGGGGACCGAACCCACAACCTCTTAAGCAATGACAGGGTCCTCAACACTTCAACCAAAGCTGCCTTTTTTTTGAATTATATAACCGTAGTTGTCTTGTGAACAATGCAGTGAAGGTTCTTTTAAACTTGTTTTTCATTTGATTTTTTTCTAAAAATCTTGATTTTTTTCATTTTTGAAAGAACAAAATCCCTAAATTTTCAAGGGATTTTTTTCTAAACTTGCCATGTGCATTTAATAATAGGTAGCATGGCAATTTCGTTTTATTTTAAAACCATGACTCTTTTTGGTCCTCCCAAACACGACATTATCACATGGCATTTTAATTATCTAGTGCATGACATTTTAATAATTAATAACATGACATTTTATTAATAAGAGGACGGTATTTTTATTAACTAAGAGCATGACATTTTAATAATTAATAACATGACATTTTAATTAATTATAGGATGGTAGTTTTATTAATGAAGAGTATGTAATTTTAATAATTAATAACATGACATTTTTTAATTAGAGGATGATAGTTTTATTATTACGAGCATGACATTTTGATAGTCAATAACATGACATTCTTATTTTTAATATGATGCCATTTTTATTTTATATGGCATGTCAACATTTTCCTTTTTGACCATGAAAATTGTTGGGTGTGATTTTTTTTATGTTTTTTAAATAAAAATATACTAGAATCTAATTGGGGCTTATCTAGATAAAAAAAATTATGTAGAAGATGGCTATTTTTTATGTTTAGCATGGCACTTTTATTTTATTTTCTAGATCACATGACCCTTCTTTTCTTTCATATCATACTGATTGTAAAATTTATAAATTAGAGAAATTAAAGTTTTATAAGGTAGCATGGAATTCGTATCATGGAAATTCGGGTCTTTTTTTATGACATGTTTTTTCCCAAAAGACAAAGTTCGCTGAGCCTATAGGCCAGAGCGAACGAATCTCTATATGACACACCACCCTAGCGAACTGCCAAATGCCCAATTCCTATTTGGGACCTTAAGCGCCATTTATAGAACATTTTGTTAACTGGCGCACACCCCATCTACAGCACTTGGTACAAAACGGGCCGGCTCATGTAAGTTTTTTGTCGTTTTTGTAGGTTCCGCCGGTTTTTTCAGGGGGCAATCTTTCTATGTATTAAAAAAATGATGGCAATCTTTCTGTTTTCCGGTGCAGGCTTTTTAGATGTTTTTTCCTCATTTTTTCACGACTTTTTACTCTTTTTTCTTTTTCATTTTTTGGTTTTCTTATTTTATTTTTCTTATTACCTTTTTCATCTTTCAATTTCATTCTCATTTTTCTTGGACTTTTTAAAATTTTCTGAACTTTGTCCAAAACCGTGAACTTTTTTATCTCAAATACATTAAGCTTATTTAAATACTTAAATAATTTTGCAAATTTGTGAAATTTTTTCCTCAAGAGAATATTTTCAGATGTCTTCAAGGATCCAAAGATCTTGGTTTGTTATATCAGAAAAAACAAGGCAATACCATGGTATGATATTGTGATGCTAGATATCTATCTGATCCACATAATGACAGATCACAGACTAGTTAAGTCTTCTTGAATAGAGGTACAACCTTATCTTGGAAGTCGACAAAATAAACTTTGATGGCAACGTCCACAAATCATTATGAAATCATTGCTTTGTATGAAGTCGCATGATTATGTATGGTATTGTAGAATGATGAATTTTGTTGAAAGTTCAAGTGAAATTGGTTAACTGGAATCACCCACCATTATCCATGAAGGTAATGCTACATGTATTACAAAATAGAAACATGTTATATAAAGAGTAATAAAAGCATATTGCTCCAAAACTATTTTAGCCCCATGAGTTGCAGAAAAATGGGGAGATAAATATTTTTGCAAACAAAATCATGTGACCATCTCGCAGATTTGTTTACAAAGTGCTTACTAAGTTCTTTATTTAGGAAATATATTAATGGAATTGATATGAGACGACTTTGGAACTTGCAAAAGTCTTGGGGGAGTGATCCTAGAATTATAACTTGTTCATGATCTTTGGATCATTAATATTGCACTATTTTTCTTTATGATTTCTCATTTCTCATGGAAAGTTTTTAATGAGGCAATAGTAATACAAGAATTATGATATGTCAGTTTCTCCTTAATTTTCCAGAAGGATTAGAAAGAGTTTTCCAGATGTATGTCTTCTCATATTTTTCAATAGGGTTTTTGGAGCAACATTTTTTAAAAATGATGAAAATACATGGACAAGTATGTATTACGGGGGTGTTAGGAAGTGCATGTTAATTAAACGAAAATTTACCCATGTGTTATTATCTTCGGAGAGATGCATCCCTTCCCCATCTCTATGGCAACGGACACATCTCTTCATGTGTGTCGCTTAGAACCATTGCATCTGGGCGATTCACCCCCCGGAGGGTGTATGTACATGTACTCATCACTATCTGTAACACGATATCATTATTATTATTTCATATTGTTTCTTTACAATGAGGATTTAGAATTTGTGTGTTATATTTATGTGAATTACAATCAATATGTTGGAGCATTACATCTGAATTTGGTTCCTATCTTTCTTTCGCTAGATCTATAAATTTTAAACCTAGCGAGTCTTTCGCCACATGCACCGCTAGGAGCAAACACCTTCTTCACCACCACATAATGAAATTAAATAATGTTCTTCTATATATTTGGTTGTATGAATTTAGGAAACCAACCTTTTGCCAGCCGAGTAAATTTTCTATAAATTCAAATCAATTTTGGACGGCTGGATCCGAATCAATTAAATAATGACCTTCTATATAGCCATTCGAACGAATTTTGACAACCAACCTTTTGCCAGTTGAGCATATTTTCTATAAATTTAAATCAATCTTTGGACAGTTGGATCTAAATCAATTAAATAATGACCTTCTATATAATCGTTTTTACGAATTTAGCTGGCCAACCTTTTGTCAGCGAAGAAAGTTTTCCTTAAATTCAAGTCAATCTTTAGACTGTTGGATCTGTATCGGTTCCTATCTTCAACCCGCTTCCTGTTATGTAGATCTCTAAAGCCTAAGCCTAGCCATCCATCAATTCTTAGATGCATCGCTAGGCGGCACACTTCCTGACCTCATTTCTCGCCCCCTCCCTCCCACCCCACCATTGTCGTTGATGTCATCTCATTGTCTCTAATGTCTTCATGTGTATGTTTACACTATCTCCACCATCTTCCACCGCGCTCATCTAAGTTGCCGCAAAACCTTTGGACACAATTTTTTAACCTTATTTTTAACACAATTTTCTAACCTATGTATTTAATTTGAAGCATATATCTGCAATACTACGATTTTTTTTGTTCTTGTTGAACAATTGATGCAACAGCTCGAGCAAAAAGCTAAATTGAACAAAAGAAGGGAACCCCCTTTTTTCTTGACATCAAGAAGGGAAAATCCTCCTCTGATATCTATGTCATCCAACCATTGCCCTATCAGCCCCGTCAACAACAACAAAAAAGGTGAAGGAAACAAAACTAAAGCCGACTCTGCTAGTAAAGTTTCAGAAGGAAACAAAACGTCGACTCTAAAACTATTCCTCCCGCATCACGAAAAGTTGACGCAGACGCTGCCATTCTTGGCGCTTCCGCACACCGGGCACGCCTGCGCCACGGCCGCGCACGGCGCGCACACGCAGAGGTGCCGGCACGGCAGCAGCAGCACAACGGCCGCGCCCTCGCGGCACCCCTTGCACCTTCCTGCTCCTGTCGCGTGACGCTCCTCCACTACCGGCGTGCCCACCTCCTCCTCCGGGCAGACGGGTACCTGGTTCTCCCCCCAGCAGCAGGACTCGGCGTCGTCTTCCTGACCGTGGCCGCTTCCACCGCCATGGACCGCCTGGACGTCGAGCGCCCGCTGAAGGTCGCCGCGGAGCACGTTGGCCGTGGCCTCGTGGGATTGCGCGACGTCGCGCCACATCTGAGCCTCCATGAAGAGGTTCCGAAGGCGCTCCTCGAGCGCCCAGTTCATGCTCCTGATCCGCTCAATCTCCTCGTCCTTGGCCTTGAGCCGCTTCGCCGCCCTGGCCTCCACGGCCGAGACGATAAGCCTCGTCTGGCTCTGCGTCTGCTCCGCCAAAGTAGTCCACATCTTTCTCGCCTGCATCATCGACCACGGTTAAAGCCTGAAACGCAAAGCATCGATCGGTGGCGGCGATTTGATCATGGGACTTACATGTTTGAGCAGGACGCTGTCGACGTCGGTGATCTGCTGCTGCGCGTGGGCCGCAAGAACGTCGGCCGCGCCAAGCATCGACGACTGCTCGTCGCGCCTCCGCTTCTTGGTGATCATTTCCTGAGCACAGTCGGGGCTGACGCCCTTCTTCGCCAGATCAGCCGCAGCCATCGCCAAGAACTCCGAATACTGCTCCGCGGCCGCCGTCGTCGTGGGCGGCGGCGGCAGCGGCAGCGCGAAGAGGTCCGCGTACGGCTGGTGCCCCCGCTGGCTCGGCACCGCAGCGGCATAACAAGGCCCACTGGCCGGCATAGAAGCGGCGGAGGCGAGCTGGTGGTGACCGCCGCCGGCGCCGGTGGTGAGTAACATGTGGCGCAGGCGTTGCAGGTCCACGGAGGCCATGGCGATTGATGGGGCGCGCGCGTCGTCCGCTCCTATATATACAGCCAAGCCAAGGCGATGCGTCCCCGGCCGGAGTTAGTCAGATGTGGTGGGAGGTGCGGTCATCGATAGGCGAGGGTGGCAAAGAAACGAGGTCCGTAGATGGCAGGCAGCCGGGTAATTATGGTGCGTGACCGGGTTTTGGTTGGCGTCCACGTCCCCCGCCCCTGGCCCTGGCCTGAGTGAGAAAGCAACTGAAGATTAGATTGACCGGCCCTCGATAGTTAATCCTTCTCCTTTTCAGGAGGGATTTTCCTTTTATTTATGGCTTCCGTTTCAATCTCTCCCTAAATTTGGAGTGGAGACCACGAATTCGACGTGTCATATTACCTTTCTGCACCGAAATTGCTGGCTTTTCCGTTCCCGACGTATTCCATCGATCGGTTGACTAATTTGCAGAACTCAAGGCTGGCCATATACTGTATGTATATCGTTTAAGTTAGTATAGTATATGTTGTGGCGCCAAATCAGCAGGCATCGTTGAGGCTTAATTTGATCTCTGCACGAATCTTGGGGTGTAAGGAAACTTATGTCAAATCAAAACAAATTACGCGCTCTGGTCTCTGGACTTGGTAAAGATCAGGAATCGAAAGCCGTGGTTAGGGGAGGGCAATTCGGGGAGGAAGGAAACTGCATGCGCTTGGCGCGTTACGTACCACGCTCGTGCGCTGCATCTGCATGCACTAAGCTCAGAGTCAACGTACGTACTTTAATGTGCTACCTGAGATATTAGGCGTTTTTTGGCTGGCTAGCTGTATGTATATATATATATATATATATATATATATATATAGACACGCTAAACTAAGCCAGAGCGCATTATAGGCTATCGTACGCGCCGGCTGCCCGACCGAGTCTCTCAACTACTCTAATTAGTCCGCTCCGCGCGCCTCCTTACCGGTTGGAAATTCACCGTAAAAAACTAATGGGACATGGTAATGGACTTTAATCATTACTACGGCTCTCCACTGTTGGATAGTAAAATTTGCTATGTCTTCACTGTAATAAACTAGTGGAACACAGTAGCGGACCCTAATCATTACGACTCTCCGCCATTGGATGGTAAAATTTTCTATGCCTGTTCAGGCCTTTTTGCACGTAGTAATGTGTTCATAAAACGTAGTTGCAATTTGTGAAGGGAACATAGTAATCAGGTTATTAAATTCTTTGGCCAATTTTGCGCAAAAAATAATAAACCAAAGTAGATCAGTCGTAAGCTTAAAATATTTTATGTTTATTTAGACTTCTTTAATTCTCACTAGTACGTGATTTTCCGCCATACCACATCGTAATGCAGTTACCACATCGTAATGCAATTACTAGCACCTACTGTAGCTAGTAGGATTCATGCATAGAGTGGTAACGCTGTTACCATAGGTACATTTTCCATTTAAATAAAACAAAACTAATATTCAATGTCAGCCGTTAGCCACGTACATGGTAATTGTATTTCTGACGTACAGTAAACCAATTACTAGAGGAACCGTTCACCGGCGCTTACTTTTTCCAAGCGTTGGCTAGAATCGTACATTCTTTTAACATAGTAAACCAACTAATCTCAAAAAAAAAACATAGTAAACCAACTACTATGTGTTCACCTTATTTTACGATCAGAGGACTGACTGCTGCACGGCCTCGTAATGGATTTACTGCTGCAATGCCTCGTAATGTACTAGTACTTCCGTTACCATGTACGCTGATATGATTACCGTCATTAGTAGATGGTGGGTTCAAGCGTCTAGTGTTGCGGGGCGGAGATGGGGCGCTGACTACGGTAAAAGAATTTAATCAATTACTATTTTTTGTATTGCTTGTTACTTCCATTTCCTAATCCCTATAGGGACAGGAACAAGCGGCCCGTCGGGTGGGTCATTAGCGACCAGCGCGTACGATTAGGCGTTTTGCGCTCTCGCGCAGTTTAGCGCTACCGTATATATATATATATATATATATATATATATATATATATATATATATATATATATATATATATATATATATATATATAGAGAGGATGGATTTGCTATCCACACTAGCTAGAGGGGTGGCTATCGGAACCGTTCATGCGCGTCAAGATCCGCACCGTTGAGTGGATAAGGTTCAACTTTTATGAATTATTGAATTTCGCCATGACACAAGAGAAAGCTGGGCTGAACCTTTTGAGAGGTGTTGTCCCGGTATGGCAAGCTAGTGTCTGACTTTTCAGGCGTATTCAGATCAAAGGCTGCTGCGCCTTTCTCACGGGGCAGTGGGCGCCAGGAGCTACTTCCGGCAAATTTTGGCACTAGCTGATGGAGTCATTGACTAAAAGTTCTGAGCTGCCCTCTGCTGGCCGGGGCATGTAAAACTTGCTATTTTAGTCTAGCTAAATTAGCACGGTTCGGCACCGTTTAGACAGTAAATGAACTGCATCTTGAGAACTCATTTTTTGCAGCTGGAAAGGCCGGTGGAAAGCAGCCAAAAGCGTGAACAGAGTTAATGTCGTTCTATGCCAGTGCTGCTGTGACGCTGGTGACTGAAGAACAAAGCTGCCGGTCAGAATTGAAAAATAAACCGTAAGGGGAAATCATAACTAAATCTAGGGTTAACCCAGCGACAATTTAGTCCAACGACCATAATCGATTTACTTCAATCGTGTAGAAAGAAATGAAATCTATTATTTGGACGAACGAAAAGGGTAAGTCGGGTTTGAGGCCAAATCAAATTACTTAGATACAAAAATGACTGAAAAAACAACACGTAAATGCATTTAGGCTGTAAGGACATCTTCCCTGGTATTCCATTAAACAGGTGTTGAGCACTACGAACCAAAAATCAAATCTCAAAGGTTTAAGCCTTAAGCGAAGGAAAACACGTACATCCCATTATTACGCTCAAATCTCACATGTTTTGAGTGGTTTGAACCTCTAGTTGCTGCCCTCCGCGTAAGGTCGAGGGAGATATGCATCTCCAGCTTGCCTTCCATGCTCCACGGGGCTTCTGTACAAATGAAAAACACATCTGTCATATGAGACATCAGTCGAGCTGCATAAGAAGAAAAAATACAGCTGCGTTCTCATCCAACAGCTCCGACCCAGAAAACAGGGGCTTCCCCACGCACTGAGCTGTGTACCGGGGCGCAAGCACGGAACGGCCCCTCCCCCTCGGACCTCAGTGATCTCGGACATCAGATGCAGCTGCACATTATTGTTTTTTGGGAGAAAGATAGGGAGATGGAACAGAGGGGGTGTGCGCACTACGACGGCAACAATAAGCTCGAGAAAGGGACGGTTGGAGGAGCACGAGGTGGGAAGGGACGTTCCGCACAAGGCACAGAGGTTGATGACGATATCTACAGTGCCCCGTCTCTCGGATCTCGCCGGTATTCGTGTAGCAGAAGAGGGAGGGAGCCCGTTGGGTAGCATGATAAAGGAATGAGGAGCACCGAGATGGGGATGGGGGCGGTGCGGCTCGCCGGGAAAAGGAGGGAGAGATGCCTCGTTGAGTAGGGGAAGGGCTGCGGGCGGTGGGATCTGGATGGGATGGAGAACCAGCGAGAGAGCGACGACCGACTGGTGATGCCCTGATGCATAACGAGTAAGAGAAAAAACCAAGGGATAAAAAACATGAACCTTCACGTGTAAGGTTCACACCATGTATATGGGGTTCTTCAGAACCTTACGTGCAGCTGCAATGACGGACCCGTGACCGCTAAACATGCCATCCTGTGAGTCTACTACTGCGGGCTACTGGACAAGGCACATGCTGAGTGGTCCATGATTCGGCTATAAGTGGAATTATCCAAAGATCACCTAAAAGCAGAAAAATGTAAAGACGGAAAGGTGAGGGAGCAGATCCCAACACATATGAGCGTCCGTGATTGCAACCGCTGTAGAGAAGCTTCATAGGTTTGCTTTTCCCTATATATATATATATATATATATATATATATATATATATATATAGGAGAGGGATTTTCTACCATAGCTTACCCTAGAAATAGCTATCAGTGCCGTTGGTGTGCTTTGTGATTCACGCTGGCTACATGGTGCGGTACCATCTCAAGGCCATGTGCTGTGTTAATTCGACTGTGGTGATAGGCTGGTTCTCGCCGCTTTATGCTTAATGAGCTGACAAAAAGCCTGCCGGCGTGCACTGGCGAAGCAGTGGCCGATGCGAGTGTCTGTACATCATAGGTTCCACCCATCGACCGATTTGTGATGCAGGTTCCGATACGTACATCTCGCCGTGACGTCCGTTGGCGAGCCGCATGCAGGTTCGAACCACCAGACGCGACAGATCCATGCGTACACCTAGGAGGAACCTATGGAATCCATGCGATTGAACTTGTATGAGAATTATTATTATTACTTATCGGCCGGCTCGACGGGTATGCGCAAGTATTCGGAAACGTATACATACACGCTGCATGCAGTTTACATACTTAGCCCACCCGATGCATGCAATGATATAATGTGAAGGCAGGTATTGATTGACTTCATGACCACTTGTGCACATGTACAGGAGCGCTTCCCACAAAAAAACCATGTATAGAAGTGCACGTACGTATGAGTGCATTCCATACATATGCAAGCTTCATGACCAACTGTGCACATGCATACATATGCAAGCTTCACTGGTTCTTTTTTTTGCAGAGGAAAAGGAGACCGGTTCTAGTGAACACTCTACTCGGTACCATAAGTAGTTTGAGCTGTTTCCAAAAATACCATGTGTCTTCTTACGCGGGTAGTTCCAATCATCGGAGCTTCCGTTAATGACCTACTCGGTACCACATGTAATTTCATCGGTTCCGCGCAAGCGTGTGTGTGTGTTAGTGAGCAGTCGGTTCCAATGTGAGGGATCACCTGATCTTCCGTGAACACTCTACTCGGTACCACAAGTAGTTTGAGCAGTTCCCAAAAAAATACCATGTGTGTTCTTATGCGGTCAGTTCCAACGTGATTAATCATTGGAGCTTCCAT